CAAGAAACAAAAAATATTAACTAGATTGTTATTGTGTTGTTGTTGCTATTGTTTAAAACAGTTTTAATTATAAAAAGTGCGGGTAAATTATAATTTTTACATTTGCCCACTTATACAATTATATGAAAGTGGATAGAAATATGATTAAAAGACTCGTCAAGTTAATTAAGGAGTGGAGTAAACCCATTTTATTCAGATTGGAGAGAAGAAGTTTGTAGGTTTTTGTCACTTGTAAAAACATGAAGCATCACCTCAATATAGATACACAAGCACAGTTCAGATACAAGAAGATAAAGAGAGGCCAACACGCCACTAATCTGAGCACAGCCAAGACACCCACCGAGCGTCAGCCATCGATACCTTGACTTACGACGCGAGCAATGAATAAATTAGACTTGCCAAGTTGTAATGAAACTCATAATGGACGCTAAAGCCAAACTGGCTTGCCATTGCAAGCAACTTTATACATGCACGATCGTATGAGAAACAATGGAACACATTTTTGTGTGATGGCAAAAACGAATTTAGAGGGCTGGAAATAAAAGGACCCTGACATCTTTTCAATAAAATATTAACTTCACAGCTCTATTCTTGTTGCGAATACCGGTACTATAATTTAGTCATATCCTAATTGGTATACGCACATATCAACAAGGTTATAATCATATTGTTTACGGAGGACCTCGAAACCCAAATATCAGATTATACGTGTGATAAAATTTCTTCTCCTGATTTAAAACATGTCACAGGTAGACACGATATACTGCAGTGCATACAAAAATTTTTAGTTCTGCAATGAAATACAGTGAAGAGGTTCTATAAGAATCTAATGCGCAGTTGCAGCTTCACGATCTTGAAGGCTTCTACCAACAAGCGTCAAGAGTATTCCCAAGATCAAGAGCTCTTCGTGAGAATAATTCCTAAACTCAAGAGCACGTTAGGAGTGAGCAGTAACAGTCTAAGGTCTCGGTGTCCCAGTAAAGGATTTGCTCGCCGTATACGAAGTTATTCACACTGAAATAAGAGGCACTCGCCAGACGTTTCCTAGATTATCATTTAGTAGGAAGCTTGCGAGACCGAATACAATCATAATTATATTAAGAAGCGTTGGTAGAGAAAAGAAACAAATACAAATGAGATCTTTTTTTTTTTAATATATATTAAATAGGATCATTGTTAAATAGTATTGACTAACAATTGGTGATGGCAGATTAATGCGATACTTTGAATCCGCTTTTATTATTTAATAATCAATAATAATAAGAGATCTCACATATTTATTTGAAATGTCAAAATGATCGGTTTTAAAGTGTAGGTCAACAGGAACATAACTTAAGAATTGCATCATAAAATATCAATGTCAACCAGCCAAAATCGAGAGTATAGAATTAAACTCTAGAATAAAATAAGCGCAATGCCTATCAGCAACAGAAGAGATGAGCACAGACTCGGCTGTTGTGCAGAGTTCCCAGTTGCGACGTCACTCTTAGACGCTTCACAAATGAGGTCAAGAACCTGTAAGAAGTATTATACTGGGCGGACTATCAACCATTTTTGTTTGTTGCGTCTAGAGCAACAACTTCAACTGCCCTGGCAAGTTGCAAACAAAATTTATGACAAACATGTATTACATTTACGTGTCCTACAACAAGATCCCGGACTAGACTCGCCGACGGTACCAGCATTAACGAAATTAAAACACTAGCGGAAATTATTAAAGCAACGCAACCCAATAATTTCAAGGATAACGATTGTTTAAATAACAACGATAAATAAATAAACTGCACGGTACAATTACACTGTATATAAGAAGTTAACAATGACATTAGACTGACGAAATCATAAAAAACGTTAATTGCAGGTGAATGTTTCATTCAATCTGAGTAGTGTATAACATTGACTAATATTATATAGGTATATAATATATTATAAATTACAATATCATCAAGCATCACAAGATAAGATGCAATAATCAGTTTTCCGCTTAAAACACGAAATTATCAAACAAACGGTAGGAGCATGTTACCACTTACAATGAAAATTTTTGACCTTTGACCCTAAAAATTCATAGCACTACAGAAAAAGGAAGAAAATAATTTCCACTGCAGGATGGCGGGACAGTCGGAATGTCGAGTGCCAACTTTGCCGCAGCGCTTTGCGGATTATGGTAGCTATACAAAAGACTGGACAAATGCTTAGAAAATCATAAACATCATTCACGCTAGAAATCTTGCATACCGGTATGTTTGTTAAGAATTTGCTTGTACGTGTGTTTCAAGCCTGCGCCTCAAGTATATTTGGGCTGTTCGGAAGCGTATCCACGATATTATCGTGCAATTGTATTACCTTGAACTAAAATTTTATCCATAATTGGAGAATAGCGATGTATTGGAAACGGGGAGTAAAAAACTGGACCAAACATTGAAATTCAATTTTTAATTTGGTATTATAAATTTAATGCAAAAGACTGCAAACGTTTTTTTTTTTTGCATTTTAGAACGATTGTCAAATGATATTTCTATCTAGAACGTTTTTTAGTTAGCATTAGCATACATTAGTTTTGTTATTATTAAATAAATTAATGTAGCGGGATTAAGTTTTCTAAATAGCAGGAATTATCGATCCCGGGCAACGCCGGGCTAACCTGCTAAATGTTATTAAATTCGCTATTAAACAGAGTGTTGAACTCATACCAATGTTCCAAACCTATAGTTTGATTTAGAAATTAAGTTATTCTCCGATTATTTTCAAGAAACGCGGTTACAATATTTAATGCCATATTTTCATTCCAAATACATCAGATCGAGCTATTGTCACGGGCCCAGCTGTGTAATGTGGACTATCAATGAATAGTTTCGTCTAACCACGTATATAAGATGCAGTTGACCCATTTTTAATTTGGAGAATAAGTCCTAGTCATAATTACTCACGATGCTGCTGCGACATTCGTGATACCAACAATAATATAAAAGCCCCAATTACCCCGGAAGTGCATAACAGTGGCACCGATAACATACGTTCGCCCAGTTCCATAGCTAGCAAAGGGTAAGAAATGCTATTGGAATTAACCAGCGCCAAAATTCAACAGACTCAAAATATCACTCGTCAAGTCGAATAGCCTGTGGTATGTAAATGGCAAGAAATCGCATAAAATTAAAAATTTTCTAGCCAGAGAAGATAACAGCCTGTGGTGTGTAAATGACAGGAAATAGAATAAAGTGAAAATTTTTATAGGCAGAGTACATTTAGGCATGAAGGGGGCAATAGCAGAGCAGCAGATGCCCCAACGGACATGAAGCAGAGCAGCTCTCAACGCCTGCCATGTTATCAGGACGCTCAGTCAGCGCCGCGCTTGCCGCCGCTGCCGGCGCCGCTGCTGCCATCACTGCACGCCAGCTCAATGAACTGGGTCTAACGTCTGGTCTACCTCAATGTAGGTCGGATTTGGCATAATGACGGACTACTTGCATATTTTTCAATAAAATAAGCAAACGGAATAATGAAAACTGAATCTTCATTATAATCAGAATCTTCAACGAAAAAATCAAAATCGAATCATTCATCTTGCAACTGTCGTGAAAAATTTGCAAATTACGAAACACCTAACCCAACCTTATTTGGCCGCGACTTGTTGCACAGGAGAGGGAAAACGGATCACGTCCCTCCTAAGTATTGATCGATGAAAATTTTCAAGTAGCCTGAATTGTGCGTCTTAATTACACAAAACTGCGAGACTCAATTGCGATAATGTCAAATGGTATGATCGTCCAAATCATATTGTTGTCATGTTGATACTGATACAGAGACAGAGGATTACATCCAATAGGTACTGTATATAAAACTATCTCGTTAGTCGAGCTGAAACTCGAATACAAAAAAAAAACACGAGATTGAAATTGAGTTCCAGCTGAGCTGCACAATTCAACAAAATTGTTAGAAAATTGGGCTTAATATGCGTTTCGGTTTAACATGAATGCAACTTGTGTGGAAGTTACACACAAATCTGTCGATAAGTTTTAATCGTCGTGTAAACTCTGATCGATGTCGTAAATGTCGTAAATCCGTCGTAAACGAGGATCAGCTTTGCGTAATTGAATTCATAAAAGTAAATAAATCTACAATTCCTTGGTGGCCTTTCTGAATAACACAAAAATGTGGTCCATAAATTCAACCAACCGTAATTAAATTTGTTGCCTTCATATTTTAATCGATAGTGTGGAAACGATATTCTCCAGCTACATATTACAGCAAATTATGTCTCCTACTGTGATGCTTCCTCCGATCTCAAGAAAGTGAAAATAATGGCAACTACAAGGGCTGCGGTTACAGCGCTTATGCACCAGGCCGTCAACTGAATCGTGTGCACACGATTCAGTTGACGGCACATCAGTAGCTACTTTGGCAGAGACGTTGCGCGTTCTCAGAAATCTATGCAATTGTTGGTTAAAATAATTCGATACTCAGAACAGCGGAATCTACATGGTGACTGACCGACAGTGATGCCATATACGGGGCAGTTTCATTTAAACCCAGTCTCAGATATCACAGCAATGCTGCCGTCACCGCAGAATAATTAAAGTCTGCATGAGCGCAGTCGCAACGTGCATTGTGGCTAGCATGCATATTGTTGAAACAACATTTCGCGTCTACCTGTAGTGTTGATGTATGGGTACAGACGACTAAGAAATATCAAGAAATTCTGTTTCAAGCTAGTGAAATAATAATAATAATAATTTAAGTTAATAACTTAAATTTTATGGTGATGATTGAAACATATTCAGAAAATCTGAAGAATTAATGGTCAGAAGTTGTCAGCGACTGCAAACCTTCACATGAAATATTTTAATAATGTGCATAATACTAATAAAACACATTATAAATGTCGAGGTTTATAACAAACTTCCTGGTTTTTAATTTCATGCCTATTGCACAAAAGCAGATTTATCAGATTACTGCGAGGCAAAAGGTTAGAAAACAAACAACGTTCAAGAAGTACTCACAAGTCCATCACAGGCGCTGAGAGCAACATCAGACGAGTGTTGGTGTCCCACTACATATCCTTTGAAAAAACACTGCGATATTCGGTAGCTGGGCTGCACACGGCTTTTTGCACTGCCTTCCTCGCGCAGTAACATCGTCGGTGCCATGAAATGAGAGTCATGCCATGCCACGACCTGCCACAGTCGACCCCATGCCACCCACTCGTACCCGCGCGTGCCCTGGTGTCCCTCTGTAACACCAGGGACCTGCGGCAAGTCGTTGCTGGGAGAAGCGCCCTCGGACTGAGAATGCGGGACGGGCCCGTGGCTATTCGGTAGCTGGGCTGCACACGGCTTTTTGCACTGCCTTCCTCGCGCAGTAACATCGTCGGTGCCATGAAATGAGAGTCATGCCATGCCACGA